ATGCTTGGGCGATGAACCGGAGAAGGTGTCTTGGGGCGGTGCAGGATTGCGGGATGGAGGTGAGGTGGATTTGGAGGGATTTCAGGACGAGGAGGTTGATAGCGGACAGGTGCGGAGTGGTGGAAGGGGTGGTGGAAGGGGTGGGTTTCGGCGTGATGGTAGTGGTGGTGGGGGCGTATTTGAGCGTGATGGGTGCGTTGGTGGCCTGGTCGTTGGGAGTGGTGGAGGGGTTGTTGTTGTTGATGAGGAAGGACGCAGGGTGGAAGGTGAGTTGCAGCTGGTGTCGGTAGGACATGGTCACTGCTGGGCCGGCTGGGGTGGAACCGTCCGATGCGGTGGCAGATACGATGCTCCAGCCGGTTTGGCGCTCAATGTTGCGGACTGAATCTTTCAGTTCGCTGATCTCTTGCGCGTTCCAGCCGCGACATTCCGCCTTGACTCGTTCGGCTTCCTGGATCTGAGCCATATACTCGGCTTTGACCTCGGTGCCGGTTTCGACGATGTTGGTCTTATCCTCGAGTTCAGCCTGCATCTCCTGTAGGAGCTTCTTTTTCTGCGCGATCTCGTCCTCGACGCCCGCAAGCTTTTCCCGTGCGCTACGCAGCTCATCTTGGTCACAGTTCTCAAGCTCGTCTGCTAGTTGCTGCAGTGTCGTGGCTTCCGCCTCGAGAGAAGAGTGTTTTTCGATGAGAGCGGGTACTGTACCGCTCAGAAGGGCCTCATGCTGAGCAAGAAGTTCATCATCTGCTTTCATCTCTTGCACGTGACGGTTGAGGCCATCTCGAAGACCCTCCAATAGTTTCATGCGCCACTCATACCATGTAGCCTTACTGAGTAGGCGAGCATGAGTCTTCACATTCCGGAATTGATTGTCCATCAGCAAGCGGATGTCCGGTGGAGCGGTCATATATTCGCGGAAAAGTGGCGGATTATCAGCGAGAGTCTCGGTCTCAATAGACCGGATCACCTGTCTGCCTTCATTTATATACGACTTCAACTCTCGACAAGACTAGAAAGATGTCAGTGGTGCAGTAATACTAAGCCTGAGAAGAACTTACATGCTGAAACAACTCAAGCATAGGCACGGTGCAGAAGCCGGCAGCCACGCACTCTTCGAAACTCGCGGGACTTCTAGCCTCGTTCTCGCTAGAAAGTCGAAGATTTCGTTTCCGGGCGCTGTCTGGGGCAGTAGTATGCCTTCTTTTCGTGGTTGTGAGTTCCATGAAGTGGATGTTGGTCATGTTGAGGAATTCCTGCAACTGTATAGGCTCGACCTCCGAGCCAGCATCTTCTACAGGCGCATCTTGCACCTCGGTTGATTCTGAGATGGATGCTATATCGGAGTTATCTTTAACGGGACTCGTGGTAGCACTGATGATCTTGGAGGTCTGTGTTGGCGTTGACATAGATTTGAGGGGAGACTGTGCACCAATGGTCTTAAGTGGAGACTGGAATCCTCGTCCAAAAGTGTCACTGTTGGTCGAATGAGCTGGGAGCTTGAACTTCTTCACTGGGCTGCTAGTCTCGCGGCCTCGTAAGCGCTTTGGCGTGTGATCAGAATCCGCATCGAGGTCCAAATCCAACTCGACTGGTCTTTTACCCAGCAGGCCACGGGCGGCCCCGACATGCAAGCTCTTTCTACCACGAAGCTTATTCTTCTTGGGTGTCAGGCTCGAAATCATGTCCTTCAAGCTTGCGGTGGGATCCCTGTCGTTCAGTTTTGGGGGTGAGATGAAGCCATCTTCTCTGTTCACCTCCTCTTCGCGTTCACGATCGACTTCCTCCTGAAGCTTCACGGGATCTTCAAAGCGTACACCCTGTTTTGACTGCTCTTGAGGAACAAATTCGGGTGCTTCTTCACCAATAGACCGGCGCTTATCCAGCATAGCAGCGACTCGGGGTGATCCAAGCCCCTCTTTGTCGATCCCGAGACCCGAGGACCGCCTCTTCCCATGGGGTTGCAATACAAAAAGAGGGGCCGATTTTCCATTGACGCTCTCCCCAAACAGACTCTTGCGCCTGGGAGATGTATTGCTTGCAGGTTCTTGTAATTCTGACTGGGACAGCTTCTGTGGTGATGCATGTTTTGCACCTGCATCTCTGGAAGGGGTCGTTTTTTGTGTATTCGAGGATGCACTGAGTGTCGGCGTGGATGGATTGGGAGGAGAGACCATATCCTTCGGTGGAGATACCTGTGGGGTATGTGGAGTGGGTGTAGTAGGCGCCGGATGGGTCAAGCTTTGCCTCGTTCGTCGGGCCCGTACACTTGCCAGGCTAGGGCTTCCACTTTCTGATGCCACAGCTGCAACATGAAACGATACTGGTGATTTGGAAGCAGACTCGACTTGCGACTTAGCTGGCGACTTCGCTAGTGATTTGGCTGGCGACTTGGAAGGCGACTTGGAAGGTGACTTGGAAGGTGATTTGGTTGGCGACTTAGCAGGTGACTTAGTAGGAGACTGCCGTACGGTCTCTTGAAAAGGCGAACTACCCAGTTGAGCCGGCTCGGGTTCCGGGGTCACTCGGTCTTCATCCGGTTCCTGTGGCCCTTGCTCTTTTTCTGCCTCTGGTTCTAGAATCTTTCCAACAGCAGCGGTCATATCCATGCCTGCGGTTTGGTCGTCATCTTCGGCTGCAATGCTCTCCTGAGTACCAGGAATAATGCCACCGATGGCCCCAGTAATCTCCATATCCATACCATCATCCATCTCATTCCCGTTCTCCCATCCAGAGAAAACTCGGTCGTCCTCCCCTGATGTGAAGGCTTCTTGTTGATCATCATCGTCGTTCTCATCCGCATAGTTGGCGACGTCAAGACTGTTCAAAAGGCCTCCAACAACGGAGGTGAATTCCATAGTCATCTCTTCATCTCCGTTTGTACTTTCCGCCCCTATGGACTTCGCGGGAGAAACTGGCTGTGCAATACCTCCCACGACATTAGTGAATTCCATGGTCTGTTCTTCATAATTAGTCTCCTCGCTAAGAGACTTGCGGCGCACTTCACTCCTGCGTCGACTCGCTTGACTGGGGAGAATTCGGCCAATTGCATTGGTGACCTCCATGCTAAGGTCCTCATCCATAACATCATCCTCATCTTCCGCAGCCGGGGGAGCATCGAGCATTGGTTCAGAAGGCGGAGCATTCTCCTGATCATACTGAGCGCTGATATCCGCCCAGTCGAAACTCTCACGTTGGCCCTTTTTGATCCAAGGCTGGAAAGCACCTGTGATCTCCTGGTCTGCGATCTCCATAGACATGTCTCCATCATCGTCCTCAAAATCACGAGTTCCAGCTTCTCTAGCCGCTTGCCGCAAAGCTTCGTTCAAGCGCGCGCTGCCAGTGGTAGCATCGGAACCATCAGAATGAACTGAGGCTGGAGAATGAACTGACATGTCGTCCAAGCTCATTGCCGTGCTTTCTCCGTCGAATCCAGAAGTCGATGAATTGTCGTCATCGTCATCATCGTCTCTCTGTAGTCCAAGATCTTCAGTCCCGTCGGCTGAACTTCCGCTGAAAGGGCTTGAGAACATCTCCTGCGACGAGCCCATTTCATCGTAGCTTCCATTGGTTGACTGGGTTTGGAGTTGCTGCAAGTCTGGATACTGCACGGGCGAGAAGCCGGCATCTGACTCTACGTATGGATCGGGGGAGGGTCGCGGTTCGGCTTGTTCGGCTTGCTGGACTTGGGGAGCAGGGGTTTGGTTTCCAGCTCCGGTTAATGATGAAGCGCGCCGTGTCGAATTGGCAGCAGATGATGAAGTCGAGTCGTCGGGTATTTCCACCACGTTCCAAGTGTGCAATGTGGCTTCGGGGGCGAATGAGACACGGCGATTTGCTGTGATAGTGGGTAAGCGACGTATAGGCTGCGCATGAATCAAGGTGACAAACCCATTGACTTTCGACGTGCCTCCCTCTTCTCAAGGATCATCTTCCGCTCCCGCTCCCGCTGCTCCTTTTCTTCCTTTTCTCTTGCGGCGGCCATCTCATCTCGAATGGATGCAGCGTTGAAGCTGTCAAAAGGGTTGGATCGGTCATCGGAATAATTCGAAGCGGGCGCAGGAGTATCAAGATCGATTAAGAGGCCTTCATTGCTCTGAGTGTTAATTTCATTGCTGATGCTCGGCTGCGATCCACGGGCCGGCGTCCGTTTGCGTGTCTCTTCAAATGTAGGAATAGTGCGCACGGGCGACACGGGAACTGTTGGTTTGAGAATGGACTTCAAGGGAAAGGCTGCTGTGGACTACGCGACAACAAATAATGACTCTGTAAGCAAGATACAGGTGGTGAATCAGGGATAAGGGGGCACGAAGTACCTTGCGGCGATTGCCGTTAGAGTCCTGAAGCGCATCTAGACCACCAGGGCCTAAGCTTTTGCTACGAGACTTTTTATCTCTACCCATGGGTCTAGGGCGTCCATCAAGGGGTTGAGAGGAGCTGATATCCGTCGTCGCATTTTCTTGGTCGAGCGTCGAGGTCAGTCTCGACCGCGGGATATGAGCAAGAGAGCGACGGGCTCGCGGGCGGAGAGACCCCGCGGAGTCACTTCTGGACGCCATGGATTCACGCTGGAGCGGACATAGATTGGAGGGAAATGAAGATCAGGTATTTGTCGTATGCAGATCCGTTTGGGATCAGAAATGCAAGATCATAATTCTGTTGGATGTTACAATAAGGATGGTTGTATGGTTGTCGCTGGTTCAGTTATCGTCCGGTGTTGCGGGCAAGGCAACTCACTGAAAGCAACAAACAACAAACCAAAAGTCCACCGCTTTCCTCTTAATCTTGCTCCGGCGGGCGCGTCTCCCGGCCAGGCCGCTCATGTGATCGAGCGGATGTAAACAAACCAAAAACGGAAAGCCCTAGCCGAGTCCCAAAGAGTACTAGCGCCGCCATCGCACACTCACACGGCGAATATCCGCCATCTTGAATAAATCTTCTCCATCATCGCCGTCGACCACCGCACGCCCCGACACCCCCCCTTCGCGACAACCCAGCTCGACTTCGCTTCCTCGTCGGACTGAACATATCGCAAAAATGGCCACCGAGTTGACCGTCCAGTCGGAACGTGCGTTCCAGAAGCAGCCTCACATCTTCGTCAACCCCAAGACCATTGCGAAGAGCAAGAAGGTTGCCTCCGGCCGCAGATGGTACAAGGATGTCGGTCTGGGTTTCCGTACCCCCAAGACCGCCATTGAGGGCAACTACATCGGTATGCACGACCTACATGAAACATCTGCGGGGTGATCAGATTTCGATTTTTGCGGCAAAGGAGGGGGGTATTTTCAGGGTCCTTGAAGATGAGAATTGCCGCCAGGGATTTGACAATCGGCAGCGCAACACATACGATTATGGTCACGACACGACGGTTCGGCGCAAGAGAAGGGAATTTGGCTTGCAAACTGCGGAAGGATTGATATCGTGGACCGTCGACAATGGAGCGCTTGACGAGATTTTTAAAGATCTGGACATTCTCATCTTCAAGGGCTTGGGAAACCTTCTCCAGACACTGCAGGAACGGAGGAAGAGAGCAACAGGTCGCTAACATCAAACAGACAAGAAGTGCCCCTTCACCGGTCTGGTCTCCATCCGTGGTCGTATCCTGACCGGCCGTGTCGTCTCCACCAAGATGCACCGCACCATTGTCATCCGCCGTGAATACCTCCACTACGTCCCCAAGTACAACCGTTACGAGAAGCGTCACAAGAACCTTGCTGCCCACGTTTCTCCCGCTTTCCGTGTTGAGGAGGGTGACTGGGTTACCGTCGGCCAGTGCCGTCCTCTTTCCAAGACTGTACGTTGCCTCGAATCCGTCACAATATTTCCTGGGATCCGTCAGGGGTAGTATGGCTTCGTCCTTATCAACCGATGGGATGCGACAAAGCCACTTCAATGCTTTTGAGAAGCCCAGGACCAATCTATTCCGCGCATCATCTAACATTTTGACCCACAGGTCCGCTTCAACGTCCTCCGTGTCCTTCCCCGCACCGGTAAGGCCGTCAAGGCTTTCAGCAAGTTCTAAGCGTGTCGATGAGGAAGTGTTTTCGAGAGGAAAATAACCTAGGGCTGCGGCGTGACTGGATATACAATGGATTAGTTTAACGGGTTGGGATTGTTTCACGATTTCATGTCCCAGGTACCCTTGAGAAAGAATATCCAATGAAAAAATTCTTTTGATTCTCCTTAATGGCAGTCCACCGTGCAACACGCTTGGGTACGGCTTGGGCCTGTCCCTAGGTCCTACTTGAATACTACACGGCTTGAGCATTGAATTGTGAGGTGCATTCTTCAAAATCTATCTACAAACTTTTCTGGACGAGAAACGGAGTTAGGGTGGATTGTCCACGATCAATGGTCATCTCAAAAGTGTGCTTTAGCAGCATAAGTACAGCCAAACAACAGCTTCTTGTGTTACATTCATTCAAACTCTTTTCTTCCACCACCTTGACATCGGGGCATAAAGTTCTCAAATAGGCATTTCCCACCCATACCTAGTACTCCGAGCACACGCACATCATCCGCCCTCAAATGCAAACAAATGCAAACATCTCGTAGACGAAATCAATGTCACTCAACACATCTGGGTGGCTTCTTCCCAATCATCTTCCCCTTCCTCGGACTGCCAGATGAGTCCACAACATGCATAATGAGAGTACACGGAAGTAAGCCATCGAGTAGCATCAACCTAGGATCATCCTCTGGTGCGCTCTGTCCAGAGCAAACTGGTATTGCCAGTCAATGTTTTCTGTGATATGGTTTCTCTTCATACTTGACTCTGTGTCTTCCATGTTGTCGCACATGGCCGCGATAACGGAATCTGGAGCAACCAGATCCGACTCCTTAGACACGAGCGAGACGCAACTATCCGCATCGGAGCTTTCAAACCGTCTCCTCGCAGCAGATACATCTCTTGGTGGGTGCCCTTTCACCTGACGCGAGAGTACATCCTGCTGGGCGGTCCATCGACCAGTATATGCGTTCCATGTCCTGATGGCTGGGTACGAGCGGCGGTTTCGGCGTGGCCATTTGACAATCACATCATCGTCGTCATCTTCTTCTTCTTCTTCGGTCTCTTCCTCGTCGTGGATGCGAGGTGTATTCGATCGGAGGATGTCGGAATTACACAGCACGTAAGAGATGTCGTCAGCATCGCTGTGTCGTTCGTCTTGATCGAATGGGCCATGAAGAGGACGAGTCTCGTTCTGGTCCCCATAGCAAGGTGGCGAAGAAGGATAGCTACTACACTGGGTTTCGACGTGCATTATTTCGTCATTGGCCTCGGTCTGTTCATGACTGTGAGACACATGAGAGCCACGCCGGACGAAGACATAACTAAAATCGTCTGTAGAGGCCGGGCTTTGCTCATTGTCTTCATCCTCGCTGCGTCCGGCCTCAGTGACCGATTCGTCGTCGCCGTCGCCGTCGTCTTCGTCATCATCATCATCATCATCATCATCGTCTGAGATAGCATAGACCTCCGGATGCTGGTGTTCATCTGCAGTCATCGGAGTCTCAGCCGAAAGACCGTATCCTGCACGTATACCCTCGTAAAATGCTTCCCCGGGATTGTCTGGCCTTCGAAGACGCCAGGAATAGAACATGCCTCGTCCGATCTCACCACTATACTCAAATCGAACTTGAAGTAAAGAAAGGAGCTTCCCAATGAGTTTGCCAGATGTACGGTCGGAATAATGCCCTTGCTCTGAAAGCGCAGTATGCAACGCCTTTCGATTGCGCTCATACGACGCAATGGTGTCGAGTTGAAGGAGTTCAGCAATATCACCGTGCTCATTTGCAATCTGTTCCAAAGTGCTGGCTTTGAAGGAACAGACTATGTTAGAGGAGGGGACTTTTCCCCAGATTAAAAACTCCCCGGCGCCGTTGTAGGTGCTCTTTCCTACCCGGACTTTGTGCAGCCAACACAAATTCCTGGCTGAGTACACGAAGTCAAGCCCCTTGGTGTCAATGACGGAGATGAGAGCACCTTCTTTGTTTCGTATGGCTCGGTGCACTGGTGAGAGCATTGACTTGCACGTCGAGATGAACGGGGATGGAACCTCCGCTATATGGACATGCTTCCGAAAATAGTCCTGGAACTTGTCCGGCCGTATTGTGTTCGGTGAGAAGTACTGGTCCCAATCCTCGAAGAGACCCGCAACCAAGATGTTTCTCGTGTTGATGCCCTGGGAGTCGACATTCGACCACCGATACAGTACTGGCGGTATGTAGTTTCCTTTCGCTCTTGGATTTCCTCGTGTGTTTGTGATCTGAATGCCTCTTCATTAGTCTTCTCCTGAATCAGCGGTCTTGCAAATCAAAATTACCTGTACGATGCGCTCCTGGACGCACCAGAAACACACCTTGTCCCCGTACTTGCAAAGGGCCCTGTCCCCATGCATAGAGACATTGGCCGGTAGCTCTTCGATCTCATCTGTGATATACTCATCAATGACTTCATCGACTCCCTCAGTATCCACCGCCATGTCTGTGTCATCTTGTGCTTGTGTCTGGCTCTAAAATCACATATCAGTGCCAATTCCATACATGCAAAGAGGCTTAGACTCACCGAGGTCCTGCGACTGAGAGTGCGCATTGCACGTTCGTATGTAGCAGCATCAACAGGATCTACCGTGCTCTCCCTGAGGTGTATGTGCAAGGATCTCAGAGTTCTGCGGATGGTCGCCACGAAAGGCGCCCACCGTCCCTCCTTATCGAAGGGAGACAGATGAACGTCAACCCAGTCCGGGAGCACTCTTGACTTTAAGTGGTGCCATTGGCCGCGAAGTCTTTCTTTGGGAGCACCATTTCTGAAGCCTGCGTTTCTCAAATCGTCATGATAGACGGCGTCGAACACCGCCTTGTAAGCGTTGATATCCCGGTCCCAGAATCGGTACAAACAGCAAAGAAACTTCCTTTTCTCCGAATCCCAGCTAATCAGAGGCTCCATTGCGGTGAAGCTTAGTCCTCCTGATAAGGCCATCTGGGCCAGTTGAGGTCAGGGATAGTACACCGTGAGCAATGAGTGGGAAACGCTGGGGACTGAGGGACACGGAGTGCGCGGCAAAAGAGGATAGGAGCAACACGTTTGAGTGAGAGGTTGAAAACTCACTGTGAAGCCCTCGACAGATTGGGCGATCTACATCTGTGGAGTATATTGAGTAAATGTCACTTGAGCAGTACCTTTGGCCTCCCTAGGCAAGCGCTGAGACTGGAAGTGGGTGGGACCATGTTTTACTCATAACTCACTTTGTGTTACTAGCCCTTAGCACAGGGTATGAAACACCAAAAAGAAAGAAGAGGTCTATTTGATATACCAAAGAAATCGAATTTCAGGGTAGATCTGCTTTCATTTGCTGCGTCTTGCCCTTTGTTATGAAGCGGACAATGAACTATATAAATGCCACGGTACCCGAGCATAGTAATGACCTATCACTTTTGACCAATTCAGTGGGCTGAGACTCAAAGCGCGATGAAAAGTCTAGAACGACATCCTGGCTAAGAATTCAAGACTCGAAGTTATTGTAGTTCATATAAGGAAGCTGTCAAACTCCCTTGAAGGGGCTGCAAGCAGCATGTGACGTGCAGCAAGCATACCAAAGGCTTTGTCAAGGCATCCAATCCATGATCGAACCGGCCGAACCCGCACTAGGCAGTTCTCAGCCTAAGGCGACCAAGCGCAGCTCCACTCCACCGCAACGCCCGGTCATCATCCCCGACGGGCCTCAAAGCTCCCTCTTCCACTTTCAGCCGGGATTCTTCTTTCCTCCCCTCTTTCTCCTCCCCCCCCCCCCCGCGCTTGTCTGCATTCTTTCTCTCCAGTTCTCCCACACGCCCCCGCTGTCTCTCCGGGCTTGAGTCCGATAGGGTTTTCGCTTCGACCCGATCGTACCGATTGCCATCTGAGATTCCTTTCCGTCCCCACTTCGTCACCGACAGACCGCGTTAGGCATCATCATCAAGAAAGGCTCCCCAGTATGGCTACTTGAGTGATCATGATTATTCTTAGCATTGGCGTGGATAGATCAATTGGAACTCGACTCTTATAGACACCTGATACAACTACCTCCAACCACTCCAGTCCTTGCTGCCCCCCCATATTTCGACATCGAAGCTACGGTGCCGCCCCTGATTCTTATCTCCGCTCCACTGCCATCGCAACCCTCAACTCCTATTCTTCAACATGTCTCATAACTTCGAGAAGTCGGTGAAGGGGGCTACCAAGGTCAAGGTCAGTCAAGGGACGACGATGTCTGCCCTGAGGTGATCTGCGCAGATGCTAATGGCAGTGCTTCTCTCGACAGCTCGCCGCCCCTAAATCCAAGTACATCGAACATATCCTGGTCGCGACGCATACAGGCGAAGCAGGTGTTGCAGAGATTTTCCGGACCTTGCAGCTCCGTCTCCGCGACTCAACATGGACTATCGTCTTCAAGGCCCTAATTGTGATTCACCTTATGATCAGGGAGGGTCAATTGGACACCACGTTGCAACACATGGCAGAGAACCCCCAAAAGTTGGCAATCAGTGGATACTCGGAAGGTAAGCAGCTAGATCGCTTCGAATGGGAGAATGAGGGTCGCTAAATTTTAGGCTTGGGTGTAGTCCAGTCGCAAGGCCATAACATCCGGAGATATTCCGAGTATCTCCTGGCGCGCGCAAAGGCCTTCGAGTCAACCAAGACCGACTACGTGCGAAGCGGCCAAGGCCGGATGAAGCGACTGACGGTCGAGAAAGGCCTTTTGAGAGAAACCGAGATTGTTCAAAGACAGATCCGAGCATTGCTCAGATGTGACGTGTGTTACCTATAAAATTTGTCGCAATCGTGAAATTACGACTGACCAGGCTTCAGCTTTTAACGGACGATGTTGAGAACGAAATCTCCCTGACCGCGTTTCGTCTGCTCACGTTGGATCTGCTGACCCTATACTCGGTAATGAACGAGGGAACGATAAATGTCCTCGGTAAGTGTCTCTTATTGCCATTGGGTCGCACAATCCTTACATAACCTCCGATTAGAACACTACTTTGAGATGTCACGTCCCGACAGTGAACGTGCGCTGGAGATCTATAAAACATTTACTCAGCAGACGGAAGAAGTGGTCAAGTTTCTCGGCGTAGCTCGGCATTTCCAATCCGCGACGCGTCTGGAAATACCTAAGCTGAAGCATGCTTCTACTGATCTGACTCGACTTCTTGAGGACGACTTGAATGATCCCGACTTCAATCTCCGCCGCCGCGAGTACCTTGCTCGTAAACAGGGCAAGAGTGTTGGCGCACCATCCTCTGTGCCCAAGAATTCCACCGGTGATCACGCCGTCAACCACGCACCCTCTCCTTCGGCTCGGCCGCAGACACAACCCAACCCGCAAGCTCAAGCGAAATCGAACCCGGTAGATTTGATCGACTTCTTCGACTCGATCGAGCAAAATCAGCAGCCGATGGCACAGCAAAACGCGTACCAGCAGCAGCCGCAGGCCATGCAGTTCCAACAAGCCGGTTTCCAACCACAGCAGCAGCCATTCTACGCACAGCAGACCGGCTTTCCACAACAGCCGATGCAACAACAACAACAACAACCACAGCCGACAGGTTTTGGCCAACAGTCATCGCCATTTGGGCCTCAATTCATTTCGCAGAATCCTCAGCAATTCAACCAACCGCAAGTTCCACAGCCTCTCCAGCCCGACCACACTGGGGCTGGCTTTGGTGGCTACTCAGCGCAGCCCCAAAACTATGGTTACCAACCTAACCTGGCTCCGATCCCGCAAAACGACGTTACTGCATTCCCGCCGCAGCAACAGCAACCGGCGCCGGGGACTCAACCACACCTCCTGCAGCCCCAGTCCACCAACCCGTTCAGACAGTCGATGTTGATGAGCACGCCGACCGGATCGGCCGCCCCACTTGACCGCCAGAACACCAACCCGTTCGCGCGGCGGCTTTCGACAGCGAACCCGCAATTCAACACCGGTGCTCTTGAGGCGTTCGCCCCAGCACAGGCGCAACCACAGGCTCAAGTGCAACAGGCAGCGCCGCTTCAAGCGCAGCGCACGGGAACCAATCCTTTTGCCCGCAGCTCCTCCGTACCACCCCAGCAATCGCCGGGGCTACAGCCTCCCACGGCAGCACCTCTCCGGCCAAACCCCACGGGAAGCACCAATCCATTCCGCCAAAGTGCCTTTGTGAACCAACAAACCGGTCAGGGGTGGCAAGTTGGTGGCCAGCAAGGCACAATGGGGGGACTGGAGCAACTGGACACGGTCCCCATCTTCCCGCGACCGGGTATGTAGATATGTGATGGTTGGGGAGAGATACTTTGTAGATGAAAAGGTTTCCGTCGCTGCTGCTTGCGGATGGCGGACCTAATAGTTGTCTTGTGTGTCGGTAGTGCCGTTCGTTGTCGACCCTACTAACCACTACCCCTTGGCTCACTTAATACTTGTCATTATTAACTGCTTCGATGCATTTGACATTCTGTTTTACTCCCCTGCCCTACGTACGCACGGGCTTGCGCATGGTGAGCTCGCAGCGCGGGCGCGACCGCTTCAATTTGATCCTGTATTGATACCTACTTAGTTATGCCGAGCAGTATTAGCGTTCAGGAAAACATATAAATCAACGTGTATATTGCGATTGTGTTCCCGACTGTGCAAAACGTGCTTTGTTATGAGGAGACTGCGACCTGGAATCGGGTATGGAAAAGAGTGAACTATTGCTTCCATCTCTCGAGCAAAGCATCCAGAGCCCTCCACCACCATTCCCCGATACGCAGCTATACATCCGGAAAACATGCACCCGGTAAGCCGACTCAACGTACGGAGTCCATACAGACAGAAAAGTTATTCTTAGTAAGGTAGTTTAGTTACTCGTACATAGTTTCCCCCCACCTCTCGAGCCTAGACTACCATCAAGACTGCTTGCTAACATAGCAAGGAAATTTCCACTACCTAGTAGCAACCAGCAAGACCCAAGAATTAAGGAGCAACCAAATCAGACTCCCGGATGGCAGAGGTGGAGGGAGGTGCGCCCAGCCCCCGGCCCAGCGCTCAGCCCCAGCTCGACGTACTCGTAACTTGTAGATTGATTTTGATTCGACTAAAAGACTCTAGTCTAGAGTCCAGAGAGTGTCGAGAAAAAAACTCCGTAATTGTGGACCGGCCGTTCCCAGCCAGAATCGGCTCGTTCCGCTCGGGAAGAAAATCGGGATATTTTGGTTTATACACTATGTAAGAGAATGGGAGGATTTAGGGACATAAAACTAGACTAGAGTTCGAGGATGTTGTTTTGGTCTGTTTTGAGGTGCTCTGAAGGCAGAACGGAAACAGATAATCGAGCTTATTTAGTCTTAATCTTCCGAAGGGATTGGGGTGAACTCTATGGTTTCGGGATTCGAGAGGAGATTATGTCCACGGTACATATATAGATATAGATATAGCTGCGTCGGTGGAAACAGGATGGCCGGAGCAAATTGCCTTCTCATCTCCGTTTTCTGCAAACCTACCCAGGCAAGGAAAACAGGAAAATAACCTTGAAGAAAAACAGATGGCAGAGTTAGAGAAAAAAATTCTGGCGACCCACAGCGGAGGTGGGGGTTTTCTTACTTCTGACGGGGGACGGAGTATCATCTACATAAGTCTTAACATTACGTCCTCGGTATGCATGTCGATGAAAGTAGGTTCTACTCCGTGCTGAGAAGAGGACTGCTAACTCAATGTGCTTGTCCCTATTTGGTGAGAAGTAGCATTGAAGAATATATTGGGAACAGTTGATTATAGGCCCGGGGGTTGTTGAATAGAATCTTCCATATGTCTATACCGAGCGCGCGAGAGAGCGATTGGAGGGAAGTCTGGGATTATACAGGAAGTAGTTATACTCCGTGCTCCTTTAGCGTAGCCGTATTTCCGTGGTCAATGAGACATCAATAGTGCCTGTGGGCTGGATGTGTATGGAGTAGATTACAACAGCGGGCAGCGTCGTTATTGTCAGACTCCTGTTCGAGACGGTGTCGGTGTAGTGACGGGGTTTGTCGTGGATAAGCGAGGAGCGATGGTTTGAAGCTTGAAAGCGGAGGGATACGACGACAGAAGTGTTTGTTCAGCTCACCACCCACTTTGGCTTACCTCCAGCAAGGACGTGGTAAATGTGGTACCAGCGGACGAAAGTGTGGCCTTCCCTCCTACCGATCTTGCGGTCAGGTTTAGTCTACTCAACAGCCCCCAAGGGAGTAGGGCAACCACCAGTGTAAACCAAGGCTGACGTGCGTTTGTGTGTGCTGTAAAGTCCGTCGGTATGGAGCACCTACTCCGTCCTAGTGTCGGCGGCGGGAGAGTTCTTAGGCCTCTGTGATCGACGATCGCTGCAGGACAGCCAGAAGCGAGGTGCAGGGTCGTAGTGAGGTAGTAGTAGGTAGGAGTGGTCGGAGAAAGCCGAGTTTGGTGCCTTGGAAACTTGGTCTGGTCGAGCAGCTTATCGCGTGCAGATTGTTGAGGGTGAATGAAGTCGGATTGTTTGTTTTTTTCCCTCTTTTTTCCGCGCGTGACATAATTGTTGTGCTCAAGCAGCTAGTTATGCTTTGCCTAGGTCAATGACGGAGGCCTCCGGTAGACTATGGGAAGAAATAATGGGGACTTGATTGACATGTTCAGCCGGTTGCGGTCAATCGGAACGGTCGGTGGATCAAACTTGTCTTGGCTAGATTTTAGCCTGTCGCAAGGTGGACTATGCTTGATTGTTTGTTCAATTTGTTCAATATTGTTAAAGGCCGCTGAAGGACCTCTTCCACGAAACACCGATCTCGAATGACGTCGGCAGCACTTCAATCCGTCTGTTCTTGAGACAGCTCTGTGAGTCAATAATTCTTCGAGAAGCAACAGAAGCGAAGAAGCTTTGCGCGAGATGTCCGTTCTTCGTGTTCAGCCCCCCACCGTATCCCCCCCTCCCGCTGTGGCCGACAGACTCGATAAATCACATGCGGCCCATGCAAGGAGATCGAGACTCGGAATGGAAGAACCAACTACCGGGATTGATCCGATCGGGAGCGAAAAATCAATTCACTTAGCGTGGATTTCAAACCTGGATTGCCGATGACCTCCTCTCCAATTTATCACGACATTTTAACTTCCGGTCCTGAAGGCTGAAGGTGCCAGACACTGAAAGAGCAGGGGAGTCATCGGCTATCTCTACCTGGGAATAATCTGGTGTTGTTGCACCCAGTGTACAAAGTACAGCACAGTAGCCTCCTGCCAGGCCATTATCCTCTGTCTGTTTCAACTGTCAGGACTCAGTACATACACCACAATACCTATCTTACTGACTCATTTACCTACTACTACTCTCTCCCAGCCAGTAAGTGTCTACTATCACAGCGATTCCGGGATCCGATGTCGAAATTTAAGTTGCTGCTCCACTCGGGCTCCGGCAGCAACAGCATCCGGGATCTGGGCTGGGCCTCGTGTCTTTCCCTCTGTCTGCCAACTCGAATACAGCCTTCGGTTGAGAATACTACTCCTGATCAAGTTCGTATTGTCATGAGCAGCAGCATTGATTAGGTGCAGCGATGGGTGCACACACCCTACCCTACTACCACCAGTACTACACCACATACAGTACTTTCCTTGTACTGCGCTTCAACTTGGCCCAACCAGACAGCGGCGGAAAAACCCCCCTGGGTTCAAGAGGGACCCGTGGATGCAGGCGTGGGACAAAGTAAATCAACCATCAATCTTCCACGGCTATTAGTTGCGCGTCTCCGTATCTTCCTCCCGTCTCTTGTCGCCTCGTCTCGCCTATGGATTGTTTGGATTCATCCGTCAATAACGATAATCAATCGAATGATTTCCACTTGGTCTCTCAGAGAGGAGGACCTTAGACAATAATGTCCAGTTGGTTCGGAAGAACCCCGTGTCTAGAATATTACTTACTCATACTTCCATACACATGTGAATCGGCATAACAAGTTCAGGTTCAGGGGAAAAGAAGTCAAAACAAGGATCCAAGCATTCGAACATCCACCTCCCAACTCAACTTTTCTTCGTCTGGGTTATTTCCCCCTCTTATTTTATTTTCTATTTTCCATCAGTTCTAAAATTATACCGAATTGGTGCTTAGCTTCTGCTATTGGGGACTGGACTCATTTCCTGGCAAGCCATCATCTGCCATCCCCTCCACTTTACAGCCCCTCTTCCTCTTACTTTCATTATTCTCTCCGGCTTACACGCTCTGACACTCGCACTCACTCACTCCCTCTCGCTTTACGCTTCCCTCTCTTTCTCACCACGGCGTGCCTAGCCCACCACCAGTCCCCAACCATTCATCCTAACGTTCTCCTGTCATCCTTTTTCGTCCCCAATCCTTTTAGCTCCTCCCCCCCCGTTTCTCTCTCTCTAAACTAAAGCACCAAGAGATGGGCTTTTCCAGATAAGGGCAGTGCGCTGACCACTCAGCATTTCCCTCCTCTTCTGATCTTCCTCTCTCCCCCTCCCGGATTCTTCTCACTCTTTCCACGCTTCCCCTCTAATCCTGAGAGGCTCTGACCACCGCTTGTCTCAATCAGCTCGTTCTAGAATGTTGAGCGTCGGCGAAGATCATCAGCTGGATCTTTGAAATTATATAATTAAATTCGCGCGTGCGATGGACGCCAAGAATTCCCCTCACTATCAGCCAACGGCGCGCGCTCTGGCTACCGACCACGAGCAGGTCCTGCCCCTGCTGGGAAAACCACCTACATGGACGACACCGAACGCTGTTCATCCAGTTGCTATTAATAACCATCCTTATCCCCTTCTCCATCATCCATATACCTATCCGATCGCAACCCCCATTCCTGGTCCAGTACCGGGTCCTGCGCCCCCGCTGCCACCGTCCCCGATTTTATCACTACCACCGCAACAACAGCACCAACAAATACAGCATCAACAAATACAACATCAACAAATACAACCGCCGCCATTACCACCGCAACCCTCCGCGCCGGCCCACGGCAGCGCCCCACCCCTCGCAACTGCAGAATCAACCCGCCAAGATGCAAACAAGAACGGAGTGACCAAGGCGCGCAAATCGCGCAAGACCAACAATGCCTCGGGGGGGAAATCGACCTTGTTCTGGGTCCATACCGACCCCAAGTCCGTGTCGGAAGGCACCAGGGAAGAGACTCTCAAGCGTATTCGTTCTCATGTGATGTCCGAGCATAATCGCAAGAAACGACTGGAAAACACCAAGCGGTACAAGAGCAAGACCTGGAAGCACCTGGCTTTTCAACCGGTAGAGACAACAGCCTCCAGCTCGGCGACGGCGGCAGCAGCAACATCTGCCTCTCCCACGAACCCTTCACCGAAGCAAACCGTTACCGAGTCCTCTTTTGGGGCTCGAATCACCTCAGAGTCGCCTTCCCCATCCTCCTCTTCATCGGCTTCATCATCACCCGAACAACGGCATCGAGAGGAACCGCACAATGCGTTGGTGGTTACGGAGGCGAGAAGTTACCCAGTTGTATCAGCGGCGGCCGTAAACAGTTTCAGCATTGACGCGCCAACGTCCAACGAACTTTCGCCTATGCAGGTGGCATCTCCGTGGACTCTGGTGGGTCAGGGAGGTAGTGACCCTTTCAATACCTCGCATACGGTGTTAACGGACCGCATGTCGGGGCACCTCCAACACTGTAAGTGTGATCGAACGATGATCTGGTGTGCATGAACCTAATCGTGTCGTCGCAGTCTTCGAGTTGACGCAAATATCATACCCGCTGCAACGCCGGTATGGGCCCAAGCTGAGGGCCCACTGGGCTGCATTAGTCCAACAGGACCCAGCTTCGTTGCATGCTTGTATATGTGTCGCAGCATCTAATACTGCTCTGGAGCAAGGAGAACTGCCCTTACGAGACCCGAACGAGCGGCGGTCCAGTGCGCTACTTCTCGACACCTTCCATCACCGAGGTGAAACAATTCGCCTGGTCAACGAAGGTCTTTCTGACCCGATCAAAGCGTCCAGTGACGAATTGATCGCAGCAGTCTCTATCCTTCTAACCATTGAGGTATGTGCCTTCTTTTGATGTCCAACTAGGCCGACGCTAACAGATTAGATTGCTTCCGGCAATGCTGATTACCTGAAGATCCACCTTGCTGGGTTGCGGCAGATGGTTGGTATGCGGAACACCTTCGCAGACGTGCCACCTGATGTTCGATTCCAAATTACATGGTCAGTTCCACTGCACCGACATCCTTATCCGCAGATGTTCTAACTTGATATAGGACGGATATTCGAGTCGCATGCATGGCTTCCACCAAGCCTATATTCCCTTTTATTCGTTACGCCCGTCCTCTGCATCTGGCGCTTCAGCCTCCAAGCAAAGATCTTGAGCTTACCGCCTCGCGCTTGATACAATTAATTGAGATACCCGGCATCTTCGGCGGTGCCATGTCTAAGATCATATGGGACCTGGTTGAGCTGACCTGGTACTGCGAATGGATCAAGAGTGGGCCAAGCTACCAAGACTTTGACGAGGAGACCGAGGACTACTTCAACACCGAAGTGCTCCACGTGGAATACGCCCTCCATACGGATCGCTTCACCGCTACCGGCGAAGTCAAGGGTGATGCCACCATCGAGGGCTGCGTTCGACTGGCTTGCTTGTTATTCCACAACAACGTGATCTGGAATTTCTACCCGGTGGTCGCACCGGTCTTCCCCAAACCGATTATCAATCTTCGCCTGGCACTAGAGACGACGATGAAAGCCGGGTACTTCGAGCTGTGTCGCGACGTCTTGATCTGGATTCTATTCATCGGGGCCACCAGCTCCGGCCTGCTCCCCGATCGAGCCTTCTTTGTGAATGAGCTCGCCATCGTGCTAAGGCAGGAAGGAATCCCATCGTGGCAGGAGCTCCGCGCGCTCCTGCTGGGATTTTTCTACGTGGACCGGTCCTATCTTAAGCCGCTACGGGAGTTGTGGGATGAACTCCACACCATGCCGGTCGTATCGCCGGAGTGTATATAAGGGGCCTTTTTCTTCTTTTGGGGGTTGATACTTATGTTTATATATAGGGGCTTCACAGCATGTCGGTTTCATATGCACATGTTCTATGTATGATATACTAATGAGATGAGACATGGTATATATGATTCAGGGTCGTGATTTGTTTGGTTGTGCCATACCCCCCCCCGCCCTTTGCTAGCATAATGTCTGTTTATAATATTATCCCGGATCATACCACCAGATCAATGCAACCAAGACTGATTGGCAGTGAAACCAGCCGAGAACCGACTCAATCCGCAGCAGCGCCGAGCATAGTCCTGCACCTACAAGGCTAGAAAGGGAAAAAATCCCTCACCCATAATCTTTCGAAGACAGGACCGAGTCACAGCCCAATATTAAGCTGCAAAGAACCTCGAAAACAGAGCCTAGAAAGAACTCGAAAAATATCTTTCAAGATAAGCACATTCCCAGCTGAATTGCGCTCAACCATTTTCCAAACAACCAAAAATAAAAAGAAGAAACGAACCCTCCTCTCATCTCCGATAAGTCCTGGCTAGAGAAATGCCTCTAAGTAATCTACGTAGCCAGGTAGGTAGTTACGACCTGCTACCTGCGAAGAAACGACGCGGGCGGGCGCACGCCCTGCCGGATTTGTGGTGGACTAGTTGCATCGGCACAACTTGGACCACATCCATCGTGCCCCGATTTTTCTCCGCCCGACCGAATCCCGCCCGATCTCCGATCTTGCCCCGAGAAGAATCCTTTGGGCACTTGACGAGGTAGTAGGAAAGAAATTATTTAGTAGACTATTATGCCGCCCGCCCTTCGGAATTGAGTGGTTTTCTCCTTCGTTCTCTGACAACTGAGTGCTTCGTGGTCCTGACCGCTGATCCTGCGGCTGCTAGATCCAGCTGTCGTTGTCAGCTACTCACTCACTCTTGCTATACAATTGCTTTACAAACTAACTAACCGACTAACCACCTAACCAACTAACTCTCTTACTCAAGGAAAGACAGGACGATCGGCACGGACAGTCCAGCCCTACCCTTACCTCACTTAGGTCTACTTCTTGACTGAGAACAACATTGCTACGCTACAGGGCCCTGTGGGCCAACCCACCACCACCACCATGAGGTCACCGTTGGTCCTTGCTGAATGGCTCAGCTTCAATTTGATCGTGGCTTCTTCTGCTTCGCTTTTCGCTTTTCGCTTTCGCTCTCGTCGTCGCTCTTCATGGGTCCCGCTACATATCTACCTACCGACCTGCCTGCCTACCTTACTTTCTTGTGGTGGGTCTCGTGGAAGTATAGGGGGTCATGATGCCACAGGGTGGTTTGAACTGATTATTCACGAATTGACTGACTGACTGACTGACTGACCAACCGGTTCACAACTTATTGACTGGTCTTTACTCGTGCAATTACTGTCTGGAGGCTTCAAAGCCAGCAGGCATATGTATGCATTAAGCTTAGTGGAGGCTCGGCCCGGCCTACGCGCGGTGATCGACCGAACTATCACCTGTCACTCACTGCACCGCCCACTCGTCTACACCCACTCGTCTACGAACAAAGCACCGGGATCTGACTGCTACCCTGCGACGATAATACACCACCTGTTATCGGTCAACACCTTCAATAGTGCACCGACTGCACGCTCGATATATGATATTTGCTGTGTCAAGCGTGTGTTGAATGTCAACATGTCGCATGAGATACTCGCACGCCTACGGATGCTTGCTGCAGGTATGTTCCGAGGTAAGTCGGCTCTCTTACACCGATTCAACTTCTGGCTAAGAATCACTTCCGTAATAGTCATTTGAATCATTCGTTGAGCAACTGTGCATATAAAAGACAAAACTCCATATCATCGTCCACGACAGCGGACTGCCTCATTATCACCCGATCGGTTATTTCCATATCCAGTTGGAATCAACAACAGCAACAAAAACAATTAATGTACCGGACAACATCCCCGTGCGGAGGCCGACAGCTCGAACCAATCGCTAAACAGGACGGTCCTACGTGAATGGGTATCAGAATCATAACAATGGCATGTTCATCGGAACATAGCAAGGCCACTTGCAGGGCCTGGGACTGTACGAGTGCTGCACCCCCTTAGACCGTCTCGCGAGCAGTCTTCTGGCGAGAACGACCGGTCGGAGACCACGGGAAGTGGGCGACCGGGATGATGAAGAAGCTGTTGCTGCTGTCGGCAATACCCGCCAAGGCGTTGTACCAAGCAGCGAAGGCAGCCAGGAAGCCGAAAAAGCCACCAGCCTTGATGACAGGGGTGTTGACCTCATTGGTATCGTTGCGCTGCAGATATCCAATACCCAGGAGCAAGAAGGTCAAGTCCAGGAAAAAGAACAGCAGGAAGAAAGCAACGGTCGAGCGCAGGGTGCAGAACAGCATGATGGTGGTGAAGATGAACCAGCCCTGTTGAACACCAGTCAGCACGAGGTTTCCGGGTTGCGACAAGTTTTCTGCGACACTTACCATGAGGAAGAGACCCATCGAGTTGTAGAACATCGAAGCACCGCCAGCCGATTCAATCGCAGACTCGATGTCGAATCCACCGGGAGTCAGAATGATCGCGAAGGAGATCCAGAAACCACCATAAGACGACAGAGCAGTGGCACCAAAAGTATTTCCAACCGCCATTTCCCTGGTTGATGTGTGAGCGAGGACGAATTGAAACAAAATTGCAGATTGCAACATACCACATGCCAGCAAGCAGCTGAACGAGACCACCATATCCAAAGGCCAGGCCGACGACGATGTTGGGCGCGGAGATACCCCGAGTTCCCATGTTGACCGCGCTCAGGACGAAAGTGGTGAGGGCGAAAGCGCAGAGACCCAGAGGAGCTGGGTTGGCGAACTTGCGGCCTTCGACCGACTTGTACAGACCGGGCTGGAACTCTCCTCCGAAGGGACGCAAGTTGGCCTCGGCGGTGTTGACGTGAGCCATCGGACCATAGCCGAAGCGCGCAGCAGCCCGAGCAGTCTCCTCCGCAGTCATCTCGTGCCTGAGGGGAGCAGTTCCGTTGCTCTCGGTCTCGGGACCGATGTCCTTCTCCAAGGTAGGGTTTTGCTCGACCGACATATTGACCGATTATTTGGACCAAAATCTATGGGGTATACAGGTTTAAGGGGGTATCAATTGATCTTGGGTGAAAAATAGCTCAGCTAGCTGAGAGGTGGAGGAAGAGTATTATAGATGAAACAGGTTAAGGGGAGGGGGGAGGAGGAAAGGAAATATATGAAGCCACACAGCACTGCTGGACAGATGAACAAGAAGATCTCTTGGAAGGTTGGGACCGTGCAAGAGAGAAAGAGGAATAAATAACAGCAATGAGAGGGGAAGGTGAGAGGGGGAGAGGCGAAATAAGAAGGGCCTCGGGGAATTGGAACGAGGCGTGTTGCTTGGATGGACGGACGGGCGAAACACCACGGACGAGCGAAGGTTGCAGGGGAGGAGCCAGGGAGAGGAAGGACCGTTCGTTAGCAAAGTTTAGCTTGGGTAAGTGGACTCTTTCCCTTTGGTTGTGATTGATTTTTTTTCTTTTGGGTTTGTTTTTTTTTCTGGAATTTATTTTATCTTTTATTTTTCTGTTTTTGATATTTGGGGAAAGACCTCGAAGGGGGAGAACAGCCAATCTCTTTTGGGGCGGGGAGGAGAAAGTCTCACCGTTGAATTTTTGACCATGTGTGACTGTGGTTATTATCATTAATATTAATATTATTATTACGGTAGTATTATTACTACAACGAGTCAATGACCCCATCATGCTTTGCTCGTGATGGAAGGCCGGGGTGGAGCGAGCCAAGTTAGTGTCGGTCTTCTAAAACGATGTGCAGGAATCCACCTGACGGGCCACTCCCGTATGTGTCGCTTTTCCTAAACTGACGGACTGACTTCTACTGCCTGCTCGACGGACCAGATTCGTCAATTGAGTGACTGGCGACCTGGCAGTCAATTCGAAAATTTTATCGATTGCAGGGCAGCAAGCCGGGGGATTTGGGGTCCGGGGTCCGGGGCTTGGTGCTTGAGATCCGGGGGAAGCAGAAGGACTGTTGGTGAGTCTCAACGGAACCCAATGCAGGGTCAGGATGAAGGGAAAATTTTGGCTTCCATTCGTCCAGGAAGGGATTTTCTCAACCTTACAGCTCTAATACCGATTGACTTTTCATGCCTGGGGAAACCAAGGCGTGGGTGGAGCCCTAAAAAGCGCCCGAGGTCCGGGGATTGCACCAATCACCGCCTTTCCATCAGGGCCACCAGCATGGCCATTGGCAGGCGGCCTCCTCCCCGCCGGATGACATGGAGATGACATGACTGGTACGGTATTGTAACGGATAGACGGACGCACCGGAGATATCTCCAGCTCTACCGTAGCTGTAGGTTGCTCCAGTCGCATGCCTCTCCTCAGTACCAATCTTCCGTCCATGGGTGGTCGGTCAGCCAGCCCATGGGGTTGGGTTTTGGAGAGTCCCAGATTCCCGCTCGATGCGGAATGCGGAGTGCCTATGCAGTGCTCTGATCAGGACACAATTAGCGGCCATTTCTCACTCTTTCCTCTCTGGAGTTGTGCCCCAAAAGTCAGGCACATTTGCTGGTGGGATGGATGGCCTTCAATGTCCACCAATTTATGTCTCAATCTAAAATTCCTGCCTGCCATATTAGCCTACTTTCCGTACTGCACTACATTAGACTCCGACGGGCGGCTAGTAGTAGGACAGGACCCTGGAAGAAGAAACCACTTACGCACGCAAGTCACTAACTCAACCAAGAGTCCACTTAGTAATAATCTACTTTCTTTAGTCCGTTCGTAGTGCACTCAGTAGTTAACTAAAGCACGCCCCCCCCCCAAAGCTGCGCAGCTTGACAGTATGTTCCTTCGCATTGATCTATCCCACAACGGAATAAGATCCTAAGTGTCGGTCGTTCCCTTGGGCCCTTCGGATGGGGCTGATGGCCACCTTAGTAGTACCATGGCATCTCCCAGCTCAAGGTACCAACCAGGTTACTTTGATCATCAAATTTGTCCATAATTGCGACGGTGGTGGCGGACAGGGTTCCCGAACCAGAGCTTTTTTGGGGTTCCCGTCCGTCCGAAAAGGACAAGACAAGAGTAGTCATCTGGTACGGTAACTTCTGGCAGGCACCCAGAAAAACAAAGATGTTTGTGCCGGGGCAAAAATCTGGCAGTTGCATTGTTACTGTACCAGTTGTACCTGCGCTTGAACCCGGGCCCGGCGCGCCCCCCCCCCTCTCTCTCTAACTCTTTCTTCCCACAGGCTAAAATGCTGGCTAATGCGGTTAATTGGGACCTTTTGTCTCTGCTCTTAGCGGATGGGGATGGCGAGGCAAACCGTCCTAAAGAGTGGGTGTGCAACTGCGACGCGACGGGGTCGTTGAACCACTACGCTCGTCGACTAACTGCTACGGTCTTAGCCAGTCAAGTGCCAGGTTTCTGGTAGTCTGTAGGCTACTTAGTGGGAATTCTGGGTGCTAGACTAGAAATGTAGTGCAGTGCAGTGGTGGATCGGTTCGCCGAACCATACCGAATCTCGAGGAGACCGGGAGGCTTGGGCTTGGGTCTAGATATGGGGGAACCCGATTAGACTGATTAGTAGATTCTACTGTATGCACTTTGGTGCATAGGGGATGGTGGGTTTAGTTTAATCATCCTTTTTTTTTTGTGCCTGGTTTCTATATTGTGTATGATTGTCTATGGAGTACTCTATACGTACTCCGTAGCGTAGCTGAGTTACATGTTGGTAGATCGCACACAGTCCGGTTGCGTGAAGCGCGGGTATGAGTATGAGTTAAAGTGTGAGTCTGTGTACAGTACGGACTGTATTTAGAAAGTAGAGTCGGATCGTCTCTGCCAGCTGTCGCAGTGAGTCGATCTGTACACCAAGAGAGATAGTTTGCGGTCGTCCGGCCACAACTGAACTAATCAAACCACACGACAAAAACCAAAAACGCTAAAGTCTGGACAGAGTATGAGTAAAACCCACGAGGCTTAGCAAGCAGCTTTACTGCGTTAAATGAAAACTCCGGGTGTGAAGGTACGGTAGTTAGTTGGGTCTCAGTCTCACCAGTGCACCATCGGCTCCAGAAGGGAGATTTCCCCGTCAGACTAAAACACCACCCGAAGGGAGACTAAGTTATCTGGATCCATCCGATAATCTTCTGTTTTGTGTTGTTCCATTGACAATGGGCAGTGTCCTAGGGCACAAGACACAGACACCAGAGACTTACCTTTTAGTCTTATTCTTCGAGCATATGAGTAGTTTCCTCCCACGGACACTCGAACCATACACCACCTTATTTTTTTTGGGGGGGAGGGGGCTGTGTGTTCGTTTCCGTTGTACTGTCTCGAGTGGTGTACTCGTATGTTTGCGGCAAGGAAAAGGAACTTAACCGCGTCGAGACTCCACTCTCGGCGACCGTTTCTGCCGCTCTCGTCGAGTTTGGTCTCTCGTTGGTCCAATCTGGAGAGTTGCACGCGGCGGGCGGGCGGGTTCATGTTCATCGTGGCCGGCCACCACCACCACCACCACCACCGGAAACGACAACTCATTAATTTTGATTGTGATAATCTATCGGCAGGCGGCAGTCGCAGATTCCAGACCATATCCCCCCCCCTTTTTCTATCCCTCTATTTCGCTGTCAGACACACATGGCGTACGGAGTCCAAACAAGCTCAGACAGGAGGCCCGCTCGGGTATCGCAATCCACACACAGGCTGTGGCCATTGCTTCCTGGGTTTGTTGTCTCGACGGATCTGTCAACGTTGATGTTGATGGCCGTGTCAGTGTGTTCAGGGTATGTAGTTGGATCTTTTTCACGATCGCTAGTAACCACCCACTACGGAATGACAGTCTGATCAGCAATCCACCCTTCAAGTAAGTTAGTTGCTGAGGATTTCAGCAAAGCAGTTGGATCTGCACATGATTCTCCTGCCAGTGTCCGTCAGCTGTCAAAAACGAAAGACACCAAAACACACACACACACACACCCGGGGGTGCGAGATCAACAATGACATGGGTACATGCAGGGATAATTTCTTTCACATAGTAGTAACAATGGAAGAAGCTAAGATGGGAGCCAAAAACAACGAATCGCCCTCAATTTACCCTCCAATGTCCCTTATACCGGTAATGTTGCCCTGATAATTAACCTGCGCAACAAAGCTAGCATGCACATTCTTCCACCCTTGTGTTCCTTTCCTGACAGTCAGCAGCCTCGTGTGCTTTTTCTTTGTGCATCAACACGAGGGTCTCTTTTCCCGCGGGAATAATACGCCCGGCGTATGCCTACTGTACAGTTACCTACTGAGCATAGTCGGCGGCATGTTTTTGTTACCTTAGCAACTTTGGTTGTAGCATGCCCTTCGCTTACCTTGCAAACCTTATTATCAACATAGGGAATTGTTTTTTTAAGACAGACAGTTCCAAAACACAAAATGGACAGTGTCAGCAGCGTTTGATTAAGACTTTTTTTGTGTTCTCGCGTCCACAAGCAGAAACTTGCCAAACCCTTCTAGACTTCTAGACTTCTAGACTTCTAGACCCCTCTTAGCTCCTCGGCAGAATCTCCCCCAAAACAAGGATTGTACTGGACGGTTGTACCTGGTACCTACCGCGCCATCGCAAACCCTGCGGTAGGCATAACGCCACGGAAGTAACTAGTACCTAGCACAGCACCTAGGCCAACACCTCAGACTAACCAGCCAGTCTAAGTAGCCAGCTAAGTGGGCAGAGTACACTAGATTCGCTGGAGGAAAAAAACCCGGCTCTGACTCCGGGAACATGAATTAATTTCTGTTGGTCTGTCTTGTAGACTACAGACTCGGGTATTTCTCCGGGTCGAGATCGTGGACCGATTGATGCGTGCATGCTGCCAAGAGGGAGATTTGGCCTTGGCTGGTTGATGTACCCAGTAGAAGAGATTACTGCGTCAATTGGGGTTAGTGCTTAGCGAGGTACTGTACAATATTTTCTACCCGCCTGTGTCCAGGTTGTGGATTATCATTGGATTGGGATCTGGGAATCAAGGATGAAATGCCTCGGTCGGTCGGAGTGTAGCTCAGCTACTCAGCTAACTTAGCTAAGAGTGCATACAGTGGTGGTGCTGTATGTCTACACTGTGGATACTATACAGCAGGTGTAAAATGGTTAGTAGCCGAGGTGGAGTTGAGCTACGGCTGTGGATGCGGCTAAAGCTGGCGCTGGCTGGCGCTGGAGCTGGAGCTGGAGCTTTGATGCCAGTGCCACACACCCATAGTCTCATCAATGTTAATTTAGTGCCCTCCGTCGTTCGGAGCCGTCCCGCCACGGAAGGTGGGAAATTTCCACGGAGCCGGAGAGAGTACATTCGAAGGGTGCCATGATCATGGAAAGCTAGAGAGAGCACTTCCCGTGCAATTCCTCCAGGGTAATTATTGATAGGCAGGGTTTCTGCGCCTCCTGCTCTGACAGTCGGCGAGTCCTGTCTTTTTTTTTTCTTTTTCTTTTTCTTTTTTTTTTTTTGCAGAGGGGTTTAAATTAGGTATGTTTGGTTTAGGGGTGAGATTGGCAATTAGATTAAGAGTGTTGTTTTTTGTGTGTTTTGTTTTGGGGGGTTTGGTTGTTGAGCTAGATGCTGCTCGCTTGGTCTATACCTACATTACAACGTACTGAGTCATAGATACCATTGTCCTTTCCCCCCAATTACTATCTATAGCACTGTATAGCACTGATGGAAGATTAGGCAAGGGGAGCCCAACCCATGCAACATGCAAGACTCACACCTGCAAATGCAAGTAATATGCCACCAGTTAGATACGGCGTGTAGTATAGCGTAGTAAAGTCCCCCTCATCCCTTCGACCCCATCTCAGTCCACAGAGTATGTTATAGTTTGTTCTACTCAGAAATGAGCATACAATCCGTGTGCCACCAATACTGTACCTCTAATACACCTCCACTTCCTATATCATTACCCCATAATCTCCCACCTGGCCCAGGAGATGGTCCGATCTTTACCCCGCATTAAAAGAGGTGCGGAGTATGCCTACGTACTGCTTCTGAGGGCAAGTGGAGTAAAAGCAGGCAACCCACGTGAGGAACATACGAGTCCCCTTTTGCTTTTTTACTGAAAAGAGGGTTTGGAGTAATGGACCCCAATCTTACAAGCTTGTCCGTTGTGATGGATGGGGAATTGCCGCGGGATCCGTGTGGCTTGACGGGATTGGAGGGGGGGTCATTTCTTTACTATTGTGGATGTACAGGTCGGAACTGGTTATTTAGAGGGATGCTGTAATAATGAAGATCTAGGAGAGCAGATCGACCAATTTGTCTACGTAAAGTCGAGCGAAAAAAGGCCCGGAGCACTGCAAAGTGTCCATATACCTGTCTGGGGAAGGATATGAGTTCCGAATGATGGGTCTGGGTAGCGTTGGGGTCGGTTGGGCAGATCTGCGACTGTCATGAATGCTAGCAATGGACTACTATGTAATCATAGGATGTAGGCGTACTGACTATCGGCATTGATGCGGGCCCGTTCGTCAGTCACTGCGCTGAGGGGCGGGATCTACTTCTCCTTACTCAACATAGTGCATGAACTGTACTGGGTCCAAGATACATCATCTGAAGTATACTCAGTGGAAAGCAGGGTCACGGGATGAGGAGGATCGACGCCTGGAGGTCAGAAAAAAAAAAGACATTCCTTTCAATTTGATAGCTGATGACTTAGCGAGAACTGTATCTGCCCATGGTCCAGCATGTTTACTATGTAAGGTCTCTTACTGGATTGAGTTTCCGTAGCCGAGAGAGCGGGACTAGTGACCTTGATTCAGATCGCGTACGGATCTACTCGGAAGATGGGAATCGTCTGACTACAGCATTCTCACCAACTGACCCAGCAACTTGGGATATGGTACGATCCTCGCTTCGAAGACCAAGAGTTCCATGTGTCCGGTTCCCCATCAACCTGATACGGACCGAAACCCGGGACTCGGGGAACCCCAGGTCCTGCGGCTGAGGAGTTTACCCCGCCACAAGGGAAGCTGGGCGTAGGCATCCATGGATTGTGAATGGAGACAACTGCTATCAGGATGACAAAGATGGACGTTTATCCTCGGGTCGGCGGAGCGGCGATAACAACACACAGAGCTTTCCCTCGGTGTTTGGCCTTGGAATTCTGGTGGTGATTCTGGGGCTCTTTTACAGACGAATCGAACGTAAGCCAAGACTGGAGGAGACTGCAGCTCGGGCTCCACTATCGCCGGGCATGAGCGAAAACCTTTTTGTCCCGTATTTTTGTTTCTCGATTCCCTCTGGAAAGGCTTTGCCACCATCAACCCATTATTCCCAGCCAGAGACAAGGGTTCCGACGGGTGCCTTGCATGTTCGATGCCACTGGCTGGAGAGGTGGTTCCAGAAGTTCTAGCGAAGGTCCTCTAGTTCAATAGTGCCTGCGCCAAAAGGATAAAAAGTCCTTGTGCCCAGAGTACCAAGATAAGCCAGATAATGAATTTTGGCTTTGGATCTTAGGTTTAGGGCCCGCTTGAAAAGTCCAACTCTTGTGATGATGCAATTGTGTGATGGGTTTGTAGGCTTGCCCGACTCCAGTCTCTCACTCTTGGGATGAATGGCTTCCTGTGTTCCTATTCTCTGGACTGAAAGTTTTCCCTTTTGGTGGGGGGTGCTTCCTCATACAGACAATTGTGCATATCACCGATGTCGGGTTGGTCCTGGGGGAAGCGGGTCGTGGCGGACAGAAAGAAGAGGAAGGAAAACAAAACTCCGGCTGGTCCACACCAAGAGGAGAATCCTAGCGGAGTGAGAAGAATCATCTTCGCTCGCCTCAGAAAAGCTTGCGGTTCGCCATGAGAAGCGCGAACTCAGATGGGAACCCGCTGACTCCATAGTTCATGCAGCAAGCCAGTAGTAGCATGCATGGGCAGTATGATTCGAGCTCTAGTCAACCCATGTGCTCTGTAGATCCTCACTTTTTGCCCACTTCCCACGCGCGTGGAGGGTCTGAAGCGCCATCGCGCGATGCCAACCTGGATGCTGGCTCAACAACATCATGGGCGAGCTAGACTGACTTGTAAGTAGCCGCGAGCTTGTTGCCGAGTTCCCAAGCCGTCATTCGTGAAGATCGCCGGGTGGGTTGGTGTGGTGGTGTGGTGGTGGGGTGGAAGATCTGCAGTATACGGAAGAAGCGGTCTGTCGAAGGATTCGAGGAATGATGTCGACTGGGATCGAACTTGTTCGTGCGCATTGATTCTTTTCTTTCCCCCCTTCGATAGTTTGTGAGCCAAGGTGGTAGTACCGGCTCACCGACTATGTTGATGGTTCAAGAGATGATTTGGAGGCCACAGAAAGTTATCAGTCGAATTAATGCAAGGTACAGTCATCGGTTCTGCCTGCCCTTGCCTGTTCGGGAAGTTTGGGATGGTTGGTCAGTCAGTCATGTGCAAGATGAATATCACGGGATTTGCATCGCAGTAACAACCTCCACTTCGCACCATTACACAATCATCTCCATTGGCTCTTCGTTGGCTGCCATCTTCAAGCTGTCCCTCATTCACGCTCTGGACGAATTCAGGCTCTGATTACTGGCCCGTCCAGGTATGCGTCTGGTCTGGTCTTACGAGGATCAAGTCTAGACATCGGAGATTTATCTTTCGATGTCGCAAGACAATCTTCACGGCATATCGGCATATCTATCAGGATGCTACCTGCTTAGTTGCTCACTGATAACACGCAAGAGACATAGACACTACTGCAGCACAACACAGCCCCTCGTGCGGGGTTGATAAGTGACATCGGCTCTTGATATGCCGTGCTGATGTCTCTCCAACCACCTTCTACTCTGGGGCACATTGGTGAGATAATGCAGCTGTCAATGCATATCATGCGTTATCTATCTCTGTTCATCATGGCCTGCTTACCTCAAGTGATGCTTTGCCTCAAGTGGAAGGTGTCGAGGACTACATGTCCAACAATGGGGGTTATCTATCAAATCGCCGTTGCTTGTCGGGAGCATGACCCTGCACTTGCTATGCCCCCAGAGATATGAATACATTCTAAGAAATGCTTCAGAAGCTCCAGCTATGCGTGCTATCATACTTGGTTTGATAAGGCCACACAGTTGGGGAGGACAGGCTGCTATAAAAGCAGCAAGATGAGCACTCCCTACGTAGATAACAACACCGTTCCTGCAGCTCGTCGAAAGCACTGAAAATTATCAAGATGGGAAACGTGGACGCTGAGAAGTCAATCGTCACTACAGCAAAGGATGACAGCCATACTCCTGCCTATCAAGCTGATGCAGCATTGGAGTATCTCCAAACCGGAGAAGTAACAACGTTCTCCGAGGTAGAAGAGAAACAGCTTGTTCGGAAGATCGACCGCATGATTGTGCCTCTCATGTGGGCAATCTATTTTCTCCAGTATCAAGATAAGATCCTAAGTCAGTCTCTGCTCGTCATGTCGCCGCTGTAACTGTCTCCTGACCGAGTGACTAGTCAACTATGCGTCGGTGATGGGTCTGCTGGATGACACGGGGATGCGGACGGATCAGTTCTCCCACTTGGCTTTGGTTTTCTACGCGTCATACCTTTTCTTTGAACTCCCGACCGGGTATCTGATGCAGCGTCTGCCAACGGCGAAGTACTTGGGGCTAAACGGTAGGTAGCGCTGCTCGGGTTGCGAACCATACTGATTAGCCCAGTCACTCTCTGGGGTCTGTTGACCACTCTAAACTGCGTTGCAAAGAATTTCGCCGGGCTTGTTGTCCTCCGCGTTCTTCTAGGATGCTTTGAGAGCGCTGTAGCACCTGCGTACGACCTCCTCCAACGTTGGAACCTACCGAGCTGACCTTACTAGCCTCATCTTGATCACATCCATGTGGTATCGAAGAAATGGTAGTGGTTTCGGTCATTCTTTGGTCCCTCTTTACTGACTTAGTCCTAGAACAACCGCAGCGTATGGGCCTGTGGTACTTGGGAACAGGCACAGCAACTATTGTCGGAGCCTTGGTTGCGTACGGTCTGCTCTTCTACACGGCGGATGAGTTCTACTCATGGCAGATCATGTTCTTAATCTTCGGACTTTTGACCATCGCTGTTGGGGTCACAGTCATTGTCATCTTCCCCGACAATCCTATGACCTCCCGACTCAGCCACGAGGAGAAGATCATGGCCATTGAGCGTCTCCGCGAGAACCGCACCGGCATCGAGAACAAGCAATTCAAATGGAACCAGTTCCTCGAGGTGTTCACCGACCCGCAAGCCTACCTGATCGCCATCATTGTTGCAGCGAGCAACATCAGCAATGCCGCTATCAGCAGCTTCTCGGCGCTGATCATCAAGAATTTTGGCTTCACCACCAAGGAGACCGAATTGCTCACCATCCCTGGCGGCGTGGTCAGCGTGATCAGTATCCTCTCGGGAACCTACCTGGCAGGGCGTTTCGATCAGCGATGTCTCTGCGTCCTAGGCATTCTGGGCTGTGGCCTCCTGGGCGGCTGTCTGATGGCGTTTGCCCCGACCGACAACAAAGGCGCGATGCTGGCGGGCAACTACCTCACCAACTGCGTCGGATCCGCCCTGCCCCTGATGTATTCGATCGCGGGAGCCAATGTGGCCGGGCATACCAAGAAGGTGACGATGAACGCAATCGTGCTCATGGCGTTCTGTCTCGGCAATATCCTGGGTCCGTTGTCCTTCCGCACGCAGGACGAGCCGGAGTATATGCCCGCCAAGGTTGCCATTGTGGCCACCGTCTCGGTGGCTATCTTGTTCACGGGGCTTCTGAAGTGCTATTACATCTACGAGAACCGCCGCCGGGACAAGAATGGCCGCGGTGAGCAGCATCAGGAGAATACCGAGTTCCTCGACTTGACCGATAGGGAGAATCTGGAGTTCAGGGTGAGTTTCTTCGCTAACCCGGAAAATCATTTGCATCAATCAACTGATATGCAAGTAGTACAAGCATTGAAGTCTACCAGCTTACACGTAACACGTTTTGATAAAGTTCATGAGTACACATGAAATGTAAGTGATATCACATTAAGTGGACAAGCAATTCTATGTGATCTATGCTATGCAAAAACCCTGCCAACGCCTAGTAGAACAAACCGCTATATATACAATACGTCGAAATCCAGCCACCCGCACAAAACTCTAAGCAGCGACCTTGGCGACCTTGGCAGCCTTAAACTCCTCGCTGTACTCATAGTCGTTGTAACCCTTGGGATCCTTGGGGAGATAGAAGACCTCGCGCTGGTAGGGGCGTAGGGGGATGCCGCGCTGGATCTTGAAGGGCAGCTCGGGGTTGGCGGTCCAAGGGCGGCCAATGCCGACGACGACATCATAGTCCTTGTATTCGACATCAACAGCGTTCTTGGCCGACTCGGCATCGAACCCGCCGGCCGTGATGACAGGGCCGGCATGGCCGTAGGCCTGGAAGAAGAAATCCAGACTATCCTCGTTGCCGCACTCGCCCTCGGTGTTGCCCTGGATGCGGGGCTCCACGACATGGACGTAGCTCAGCTTGAACTCCGCCGTCTTCTCGGCGAGGTAGCGGAACTGGGGCTTGGGGTCCTGCATGCGCATGCCCTGGAAGGTGCTGAAGGGCGAGTAGCGAATGGCCGTGCGCTCCGCACCCACAGCCTCGACGACGGCCTTGATAACCTCGAGCGCGAACCGCGCGCGGTTCTCCACGCTGCCGCCCCAGGCGTCCGTCCGCTGGTTGGCCGTGTCCTGGTTGAACTGGTCGATCAGGTACCCGTTGGCGCCGTGGATCTCGACGCCGTCGAAGCCCGCCGCGATGGCGTTCTTGGCGGCCTGCGCGTACTCCCCAATGAAGGCGTGGATCTCCGCCTCAGTCAGCGCCCGCGGGGTGGGCGCTTCGGGTGAGGCGGGGATGGCGCTCGCAGACGCAACATCAACCTCTCCGTTGGTGTCCTCCTTCAGGGCGGCCGGGTCGGCCACGCGGCCCAGCGCCCACAGCTGCATGTAGATGTATGAGCCGCGGGCGTGCACGGCGTCCGTCACCTTGCGCCACTGCGCGATTTGCGCCTCCGTCCAGATGCCCGGCACGTTGCGGTAGCTGCCGGCGCGCGGCGAGATGAGGGTGGCTTCGGTGATCAGGAGCGTGCCGGGGACGGCGGCGCGCTGGGCGTAGTGCTCGGCGACCATGTCCATGGGCACGTGGGCGTCATCGGCGCGGAAGCGCGTCATCGGGGCCATGGCCAGGCGGTGGGCGAGGTGCATGTTGCCCACTTGGAGGGGTTGGAAGAGTTTCGTGGTGGTGGCCATTTTGTGTGGTGTGTTGAGGTTATTCGTGGGAGGAGAGATGCAGTGAGGAGGAGTAAAGAGTGTGGTGGGGGGGTATTGCAACAACGCAATTGATCAATTACCAAAACAGTGCATCAAATAATTCTTGTGCTGCGAAAAGCAACCAGAGAAGCGAAGGAAGAAACAACACCTTTATACGTCCTGTCCTCAGGCAATCCAGAATAGGAAGATGGAATCTTCCATGGAATTTAGGGAAACAGTGGAAGTGGGGCCCAGTGCCCATGTCCCACATGTTGATTTCCAAGCATTGATGGGGCTTGCTTTTCTCTCCAACTTCTACAGTGGCCCCCTTGAACACTGAAACCTTCTTGCTCGTCTCGGGGTTACATACGCCCCCTGATTCGAGTATGAATCCATGGCAATGAAGCGTGATTAGTAGCTATGATTAGTGATATCAGCTGTGTAACTATACACAGTACTCCGGAGTGAAAACTACCCTGCTACACTAGTTAAGTTTAGTACATAAGCTGCTGCATACATAATCTGCACGGAAAGCCGGCAGTGAGTCCTGGTAAGCACTAGGACTCCCTCCTGCTTAGGTTCTTGGACCCTGACCACGCCATGCATACCTGCTTACACCCTTCCCTACTTCCAGGTACGAGGAGTCTTACTACTGACTAGTCAATCTATGGACTAGGCTTAAACAATGACGCTGACAGATACCGATAACGTGGGTGGCGGACCAAACTCTTGCAGAGAAGTAAACCAGTGTCTTGGTTCAGGTAACAATTCCCTTTTCGGCACAGGAAATTGTTTTCCGCCCGGGCTGACAAATAGGGCTGGCTGGCTGGCTGGTGGCGCGTTTCGAATGCATTCTAAGAATTTTCTGGCGTGGCTACATACAGTACCGCCGTAAGTTGCTTGCTTCGGGCTGCCGGTCGGGTTTGGTTCGGCTTGCTTGCCACCATACTTCTTCGTAACTTGGTGTAGGGTTTGATTTAGGTTACGGTTGCAGAATAGGTACGGACTCACTACGCTTGAGTATACGTAAACGTATCATGACGAGGCCATGTTGGATAGTGCGGCAAAAGGACTAGCACGATTGAGTGTCACTCAACTAATCTGATCCTGTACGGAGTCCGTACACGCATGCAAGATAGTGATATGCTGTTATCCAATCGCTAGCTAGGTCTGGTAGTACAGTACGTACAGTACATGGTCATGGTCAGGTAGGTATCCATTTCATCATCAAAATAATCCAACGGGAACTGCTACTGGCACCCTCGAAAAACAACCGTTAAGAAAAAAAAAAAAAGAAACTCCTGTCGCAGTGTTCATGTGATGTGGGTATTCGGGATCAAGAAAAAGAGCAAGACGAGCAAGACAGGGAGGGCAATGAAAAAGAAGTCGGATGATAAAGGTCTCAACCCCAACGGAATGGATGCAACCAAGGTCGAGAGGAAGAAGCTCAACGCTCAACTCTCCAGCCTCCGTGCCGTAGATTCGAGCTGGGCGTTGAAGGAGCGAAGTTGATGCAACAGCCCGCCCTGGCCGCCGGGGGCGGCGGAACTGACCGTCTCCGCAACGTTGCGAAGCAGGAACTCCATCCCCGCCAGATCACTGGTCTCATCAGGGTCGGCCGGGTGGGTCTGACGACGCTCAAGGGCGAGGTCAAGGCTGTGGAGGGAGTTGTTGATGGTCGATCGCGCCTGTAGAAAGGAATCATGTTAGCATCCAATCTCTCTTCCGATATAGTTTGATTGACTCCAGAAAGACTCACCTTTCGTGCAGACTCATCTTCGGCATGTTTTCGCCGGACGGCGTCCATCTGCAGCGCAACCGCCTCTCTCTCCTTGCGCACCTGGTACAGTCGACTCCGATACTCCATCATCTCGCGCTTGGCCTTCCGCATCTTGACCCCAAGCACGAAGTTGCCGTCCAGTATCTCGCTCAGCTCGAGCAGTCGGCCCTCCAGTTCGCTGCCGTACGCCTCGACCACCTTCTTCTTGCGCGTCCATTCGGCGCGCCGCGCGGCGTTCCCTTCACCGTCGATGCCGTTAGTCAGCGTCGTTAGTGTCTTTTCCAAGGTCTCGCGGCAGATTTGGCCCAGTACGTCGGCCACATTCACGCCGCCGCGGCTGGGCAGCTTGGCCTGCTGCCGGTCGGACGACGCCTCAGCGGTCTCGCCCTCGTCATCCGACGACTCCAGCAGTGTGGGATCGCCCCCGAGAGCAGCAACGTTGGCAAGACGATGCACAGTCACCGGCACGGTCTCTCCGCGAGGTTGTCTGGGCTTGCGTCTCCGCGTCCGAGGCTCTGCGCTGCCCGCGCCTTCTGCTGCGACGTTGTCCGCCTCGCATGTCGCGCTAACCCCGACACTCTCTTCTGCCTGCCTGCCGCCACGACCACGCTTACGAGATCGGGGTTCTGCGGGTTCCTGCGAAGGCTCCAGTTCTGGTTCTGGCAGTGCACCCTCGGGTTCGACCACATCAGGTTCCGGAACAGCTTCTGCTGGCTTCGGCGGTGTCGACTTGGCTCCTCTTGCTTTCCGCCCTCTGGGCTTCGGCGCTGTCTCAACCGGTTCTTGCGTGGCCGGCTCTGGCTCTGGCTGTGGTTGTGCTTCAACCGGCTCAGCTGTCCGTGCTTTGCGCCCTCTGCGCCTGGGCTCTGCCTCAGCTGGCTGTTGATCTGCCGGGACGGGCTCCGCTTGTGCTGCCTCCGGCTCAGCTGTCCGTGCCCTCCGCCCTCTTGACCTTGGCTCTGGCTCTTCCGGTGCTTGTTCCGCCGGTTTTGTCTCTGGTTGTGGAACCTCTGGTTCCGCAATCCTTGCTCTGCGCCCCCTGCGTTTCGATTCAGGAATCACTGGCTCTGGCTCTACCGGCTCTGGCTCTACCGGCTCTGGCTCTACCGGCTCTGGCTCTACCGGCTCTGGCTCAGCGGTCTTCGCTCTTCGCCCTCTGTGCCTTGATTCAGGCACTGCTGGTTCTGGCGCCGTTGCTGTTGCCTCTGGTAGCGGCTCCGTTGGCTTGGCTCTCCGTCCTCTGGGCTTTGAGCGAGATGCTGTCTCCGGCTCTGCTTCCTGATCCTGCGGCTCTGGTGTAGGTTCCGCTTGCTCCGGCTCTGCTTGTTTGGGTCGTCGTCCCTTGCGCTTCGGCTGTGCCTCCGATGGTAGGGCCTGCTCCTGTGGCTCCGGCTCTGGCTCCATCGGCTGCGGCTCAGATGCCTTGGGTCTCCGTCCTCTCGACATGGGCTGTGATGCCGACTCTTCCAGCTGCTGCACCTCCTTCTGTGCGTCCTCAACTGGGGCTTCCTCCTCCTCGACCACGTCCTGGAGAGAGGGTGAAACCTTTCTCCCGGGGCGACCAGCGCGCTTCGTTCTCAGTTCTGCGGCCTCCAACTGTTGCGGACGTCCTCTGCGGGCCCCCTCTCGCTCCGCAGCACTCACCTCTGCTCCTTGCGGAGCATCTAGCTCCATATCTTGACCCTCTGGCTTCCCATTGGTGATGGAAGCATCATTTGCCCGCTCAGAGACCCCATCAATCCGGGTCCGGATCCTCTTATTTCCCTTTGCTCCAACTGGCGTGCTCTCCGCGGAGCCTGCTCTCGCCACTCGGGGCTCCTTGACCGTGGTCGTAGATGGTTGGACGGATGCAGCTCGTTCGCCTCGTGACCGCTTAGTTCGCGAAGGAACGGGTAGTCTCGACTGTTTCGTAGTCGGTTGAGGTTCGGTGGCCGCGTGGGATCGAATCGTTTCTTGGGGTTGGGCAGTCGATTGGGGCTCGGTGACGGCTTGGGGCTTGACGGGTTCGGTCGACTCAGGAAGAACTGGAAGGATTGTGTCGTTTGGTGGTTCAACAGTATCTGGCACAGCTGTCGTTGCTGATTTTGTAGTTACAGGTTGTACATCCAACGATGTATCCATAGGCTCGGCTGGTGGTTCGATCTGCGCATCCCTCGTCTTCGGACTGGTTGTCGTAGGCGACGATCGTTTGCTTTCCTGAGAGCCTTGTCTCTTGCGCTTGCCTCTTGCCTTCTTACCTGGTGGTGAGGGTGTCCCGTTCGATTTGGGTGATGCTGACTTAGACCTCGGGGACAGCTTCTCTGTAGCCACTGTCGCTGACTCTGGTTCCTGGAGAGCCGGCGAAGACGCAAGGTCATTGGGCGTTATAAAGGCTGCTACCGGCGCAATCGGTGATGCTGGTTTCTCGATCGGGGCTTCAGAAGGAGGGGTCGGAACAGGTTCAGGAGTAAGCTTAGTCGCAACAGCTGATTCCTCGGCGGTTTGAGCTGGATCAATCGGGGCAATCCCATTGGCGAGAGAAAGGAGGTTCTCAGCACTGCGCGCAGCAACTGAACTCGTAGGGGAGCTCCTAGGGTGATCTTTCACAAGGTCAGCAACGGATAAACCGCTTCGGTACATGTGGCTGCGCACCAAGTTTTCTAATCTTGCGACTTGGACCGGCTTGCGTCGCATCATCCGACGGACTCCTAGGCGAAGACAGTCTGGGCGAGGATCTGGTGCGCGCGCTTCCTGAGATCCGTCGAGCGGGTTCTTGGTCCTGGGAGGTCGAAGGCTCAGCCGTACGCGGCAAGCCAATCTGCGTGGCTTCATCCGCGATACTTGTACTTTCTATAGTGATTGGCGGTGCTGCTGTCGTCGTCGTCGTCGTTGTTGTTGTTGTTGTTGTTGTTGGCGGCGGCGGCGGCGGAAGTGAGGCAGAAGGCTCACCAGCATCGGCCGGGCGCGACGCGGAATCTGTAGCTTCGTCCGGCGGCGGAGCTAGCCCAAACGAAAAACCAAAGTTGATCTCTTTCGTCTTACGTGACCTGCTCAAGATTGGGTACGAATTAGCGACTCACATCCTAGTGGTAAGGCGACGCGGGGTATGCTGGGCTGGGGATTGGGATGGGCGTACGCTGCTCCGCGCTGCCGCATTTGCTGCCGCTCCTCTCGATCTACCGTTTGCAAAAGGTTAGTTGCGTACGCGATAAACCTGGGTGAGAGAATTAAGTCATACTGATATTCATGGTGGAGAAGCGGCGTCAGGCCGAACTCAACGCGCAAATTGACGCGCGAGAACAGATAGAGGGAGGACGTGGGAAAGAGAGGATCGGATCCCTCCTTCTGGGGGCAGCGGGAGTTGGGTTTGGGGGAGGGAATGATGGCACTCAGCGCAGGGCGGGCGGAAACCTGACAATCGTTTTCCCCAATACGGTTTGGCGCCCGGTATGAAGTTGACGGAGGCCTGCCTTCGTTTCGGGCATCTCGCGCCATTCTCCGCAGTCAATCTATATTATACGGTACATTATTGCACACGACGACCAGCAAAAGCAGCGTACGCTTGCAGGGGCTTTCTTCCGCTTGCTTGCTCAGTCCTCACTCCTCGACCTATCTATCTCTTCCCGGTGAATCGATCACTCCACATCAAATCATGGGCTGGTTTTGGGGCGGTTCGAACCAAGACGACCCCGTCAAAAAGCTTGACCCGGAGCTGCGGGATTTCCTCGAACATGAAGCCCCCAAGAGATACGTGCCCACAAATGCGATTCCGTCCGTCCACGAGCCTTCGAAGACAGTCGAGACACCGGTACAACCGCCCTCGTCGGAGAGTGCTACGCCCTCGGAACCTGCAGTCCCCAATGCCTCCCTCTTCCCGGACGGCCGCTATGCCCACCTCTGGAAGACCTACAAGCCACCCCAGGAGAAGGAACAGTCCGAGATGAAAACCGCCGAGCGGGTGATCGAGAAGTACAAACAGCGCGGTGATACCGTGCACCGGGCGGCGATGGAGAACTGTGCGTTGGAACAGGAAGACTGGGCCAATTGCTTCCGCACCGGCAACTGGCAGAAGCAACTGAAAGCCCGCGCGACCATGTGCTCAGATGAGAACTCTAAGTTCTCTCGTTGTTTTACCACCCAGGCTGTACGTTCATTCGCGGAGGGACGAATTCTCCTTTGATACGCAAGATGCTAACTGCTTGGGGCGGGGTTCCAGAAATTTCTCCAGGCCTTGGGCTACGCCTCTTCCTTCGAGTGGGACGCGGAGAGAGAGGAGCGGATTCAGATGCACGCGGATAAACTCTATCACGAGATGTTGGACTACGAAACCCGGGTGGAGGAAGCACAGAAGGCCGGGCTGGAACCTCCGCCGCTCACCTCGCTCTTCAACCCCCAAGCACCGCCGCCGCCGACTCCCGCCGTTCCCACCAAGAAGACGCTGGAGATCCCCGGTGGGGAGGCCATCCCTACCGGCTTGAAGCCATCGAGGCCTTTGGAGAAGCTCACTCCCCACGAGCGGGAGCTGGAGATCCGGGCGCACAACGCACAGTTGGAGCAGCAGAAACTCTACGTGCAGGAGGCGACGCCGTTCATCAAGAGCCAGGATGAAGCCCGTTCGAAGCGACGAGAGAAGGCTACGAGTTGGTTTGGCGAGACGATTGGTCGCTGGGTCACCTGAAACATTCCGGATATGAGATGTTTGTCTTCAATTCTGATGTATATTATGATTAACCTCTTGGTTTGACTTTTCTGGGGGAGTTTGTGAGTAGTTATCAGCGATACTTTCGAAGTTGAACATCTTGCGCAGTGCTATAGGTTAGTCCTTGTGTTGTGAAATAGGTCCGGAGGAGGTGGTGCTATAGTTCAATCGGCAGCCTCAGCTCCCCTAGTGATCGCTTGTTAACTGCTTTGCTCACTCGACGTCCCCTATGTACTTAAACATTCAGCGATAGAAGACTGATTAGAGCCATGACTCTCTCGACGCATTAACATTATCAGTATGCCCGAAACTGGCCGAAGAGGCAGCTAGTCGCGCCATCTCAGCGAGTCTAGACTTCCCCACGCCCCTGGACACGAGAGAAAACGTTCAACAATAGTAGCAACCACCTGTCCTGTACCTTTTCTTCCACATGCAGATCAGAATCTAAGGTAGTTCCCATTGTTATTGGAAGGGATTGCAGTGTCAAGTAGTCGCCAGCCGCCATCCCGCAAGAGATACTGAACCGCTTATTTGATGGGGTATTTCCAGGTGCAGGCGTTGGTTTGGAAGCAAGTGGATGGAGGAAACAAGAGAAAGAAGCATTGGAGAGGACTCGGCCTGGTGCGTTTCTATCCCGTAAGGGGAATGGCAATGAAGATCCAATTACGCGCGATCGACGAGCAGGCGAACGCGAAGCTGACGGACGCGGGGATTGTCATTCGCCGGGCGCGACACGAGGGAGAGAAAAAGGATGGGATGGACGACATCACCACTAACTGCCCACTGACTGACTGGATCCTGCAATCAACTACACTCGTCGGCTGCACTTTGTGTCTTCGTCAAATCGGTAACATTGACGGTGTTTGTTAGATTTACTAGATTCTTGATCTTGCCTAATAATCCGATCTCCCCTTTGTTTCCTCTTTCTCTTTCCCCTCCTCCTCCCTCTCCACCCCCTTCTTGCTTCTGATTGCATACCATACCTCTCTTAAATCCCTCCGAGAGGCTCTTTTGATTCCCCGGCCTTGCTGCTGCTGCTGCTGCTGCTGCTGCTGCTGCTGCTGCAAGTACTTCCCGACGGCTTGTTTGCATTGAATTTCCTCGCCCGCAACTCTCCCTCCGCACTGCTCTCTCTCATCTTTAACAATTCTCCTCATTGCTGCTGCTTCAGCTTTCCCCCACCCCTCATACCACTACTCCTTACAATAAATTTCCCACCCCATCTATATCCGCAATATATACTCGTCCTGGGCCTCATCTCTCCACCCCCAGTCTCTCAACGGGTGCCCCCAATTGAGCATCCGTGCTCATCATGAAGGCCACCCCGTTGCTCATCTCGTGGCACGATGACAATGCTCCTATTTACTCGGTACATTTCGACCCCAACGGTAAGGGTCGCTTAGCCACTGCTGGAAAGTGCGTTCGTCTGATCTCCCCTTTGCCCTTCTTTGGTCTGTCATCCAGGTTGCTGATGCTTGTCTCCGCCCTCTAGTGACAATAACGTCCGAGTACGATTCCTTCCCCCCCCCCCCTCCTCTCGAATTGGCTTTGCCCTCCCTCATCCCTCCTCGTGACTCCTCGTCGAGGGCACTCTGTACACCGTGTCTGACAACATAACACAACCATAGCTATGGAAAGTTGAATCCACCGGAGAGGAACGGAAGGTGTCCTACCTGAGCACGCTGGTTAAACATACCCAGGCTGTCAATGTCGTCCGTTTCAGCCCCAAAGGTAGGCAGCAACGCTCGGGCCAGTCTGTCTGTCGCTACCTGTTCTGATCGTGTCTCCTCGAATCTCATTTAGGCGAGATGCTGGCATCTGCCGGGGATGACGGCAATGTCTTACTCTGGGTACCGTCGGAATTGCAATCACAACCGGGCTTGGGTGAAGACCGCTCGGACGACAAGGAAACCTGGCGAGTGAAGCATATGTGCCGTTCCTCCGGGGCAGAGATCTATGATCTTGCGTGGTCGCCCGACGGGGTTTTCATTATCACGGGCAGTATGGACAATATCGCTCGGATCTATAATGCTCAAACGGGTGAGTTTGGTCGGTGGGTTGCACGCGAAATTGGGCTGCTGACTGTATGAATGACAGGCCAAATGGTGCGCCAGATCGCTGAGCATTCGCACTATGTCCAGGGCGTCGCCTGGGATCCGCTGAATGAATTTGTTGCAACACAATCGTCCGACCGCTCGGTCCACATCTACAGCTTGAAAACCAAAGACGGCCAATTTACTCTAACTTCCCACGGAAAGTTTCTCAAGATGGACCTCCCCGCGAAACGCATCTCGTCCAGCAGTCCTGCACCGCCCGATCTATCCATTCGCTCTCAACCCGCACCGACCAGCTCAGCCGCCATCGCCTCTCCCGCTCCGTCCACCCCAGGTACCCCAATGACTTCCAACTTGCCGATGGACCCTCCTCCCGTGTCGCATAGTCGCCGATCGTCATTTGGGTCCTCCCCGTCCATCCGTCGTTCAGCATCTCCGGCGCCATCACTGCCGTTACCAGCTGTCAAACCGCTGGAGGTACCATCACCCGGTTTATTGGGGGGACTTGGAGTCAAGAATGCCAACATCTATGCGAACGAGACCTTCACCTCATTCTTCCGGAGGTTAACTTTTGCTCCTGATGGAAGCCTGCTGTTCACCCCGGCGGGGCAGTACAAGACGTCGCATGTTTCGGCGACGGACTCCACGAAAACCACGGACGAGATCATCAATACCGTCTACGTCTATACCCGTGCCGGGTTCAACAAGCCGCCTATCTCTCATCTCCCCGGTCATAAGAAACCATCTGTTGCGGTCAAGTGCTCCCCAATTTTCTATAATCTGCGGCAGACTCCTCAGCCTGCTCGTCATATCACCTTAGACACCTCGTCCATCGAAGAGTCGTTCTCTTCGCTCCCAGACCCGGTGGTGAGTTCCGCCAAGGATGGCGCGTCAATGGAGCCTCCATCGTCCACGCTTGCTGCCAATGATCTGGTGAAGAACAACACCGGTACCAAGGCGACGGAGCGGGACAGTCCCTCTGCGAGCCAGAGCCCTGCCCCCGTGTTCACACTGCCCTACCGAATCGTGTATGCGGTAGCCACCCAGGACGGAGTCTTGGTGTATGACACCCAGCAGCAGACGCCAATCTGCGTCGTTAGCAATCTGCACTTTGCTACTTTCACCGATCTGACCTGGTAAGTGATGACGACAGACACTTGTCTCCTTGATTCAGCCGAACTAAACTGGGACAGGTCGAATGATGGCTTGACCTTGATGATGAGCTCGTCGGACGGATTTTGTTCGACGCTTGCATTCTCGCCGGGCGAGTTAGGCCAACCATACACTGCGCCAGCATCAGCGGCTCATCAAAACGCAGCCGCCGGTTTATCAACCAATAACGTTCCGCTCCCTACGCCGACGACAGCGAAACCAAGTCCAGGCCCCCAGGCCAATGCGAGCCAAGCTCCCCCTGCAAGCCCTGCGCGATCTAATTCGGTGTCATCAGTCACGACCCAGTCTGGTAGCCAACAAACGCCAGGGACGGTGGTCAACAACCCGACACCGACTCTCGGATCAGTCCCCCTGGTGA